GTAGGTGGCCACAAGATCACCTCTCAGCCTTCTCTTGTGGAGGCTGAAGAGGTCCAGGTCCCTCAGTCTCTCCTCACAGGGCTTGTCCTATAAGCCCCTAACCATATGAGTGGCCCTTCTCTGGACCTTCTCAAGTCTATCAACATCCTTCTTGAAGAACAGCACCCAAAACTTGATGCAGTACTCCAACTGCAGTCTGAGCAGTGCCGCATAGAGGGGAAGTATTCACCTTTTTGGATCTATTTGTCATGAATCTGCTGATGCATGATAAAGTGCAGTTAGCTTTGCTGATGATTTTGTCACACTGACGACTCATGTTCATCTTGGAGTCCACTGTGACTCTGAGACCCTTTTCTGCTTCTGTGCTGCTGAGAGGGTCACTTCCCAGTCGGTAGATGTACTGGATATTTTTGCACCCTGGGTGCAGCACTCTGTGCTTGTCCTTGTTTTACTGCATCCTATTGTGTACTGCCCACTTTTCTAACCTGTCCAGGTCTGCCTGCAATCATTCCCTACCCTCCGGAGTGTGCACTTTACCCCACAATTTGGCATCAGCCTCAAACTTGGACAGAGTACACTTCACACCCACATTCAGCTCACTGATGAAGATATTGAAGAGTACAGGTCCAAGGACCAAACCCTGCGGGACCCCACTACCCACATCCTTCCAGGTCAATACCGACCCATCTAGTACCACTCTCTCTCTGGGTGCAACTGCTAAGCCAATCTGCCACCCACCAGGCTGTATAATCATCTAAGTCACAGCCTCTTAATTTATTTATGAGAATAATTGCATTTTGAACATTCTAAATAAATATTTAGTGTGAACAATGTTATAACCAACCTCAGTCATTCCAAACTCAGAGACAAACCTGAAAAAATAAATTAATCTGGGTTTCTTCTTCTTTTTTAAACTAATCTCATGTTGAGCTACTAAGAGGTCACATTTCCAAGTTTTTTTCTTTTCCTTTTTTTTGCATAACAAGAATGTTTTAGAAATGCAGACACGGATTTTTTTATTTAATTGATAGGCAGCATGTAGAACACTCAAATATGCTCTGCCCTTATATTTAATGCTAGCCAATTGCTCATCATGAATGACAGGAGGGACAGGGCAGTGGGGAAGGGATGGAGTGCAGCCACTTAATGTCCCATGCTGCCGCTGTTCTGCCTCTTGCAGGGACTGGGGTAGGGGAGCCGAGGCCAGCACATCTGGCCTCGGCTCCTCTACCCCGTGTCTGGTTCTTAGCGCTGCTTGCAGGGTGTGAGTGGGGGAGCCAAGGCCAGCACTTGTTTCTGTCAACCAACCAGAGTGCAAATAAAGCATTATGAACAGACAGATGTAGGCTTTTATAATATTAGAATAATTTCCTTTGCAATCAGGGAGTTGATTAAACCTATGCTATCATGTCTCATATCTCAAAGCTTGAGTGGCATCTACTGAAGATAGTCTTCAGTTGAATCCAGTGTTCTTGTCGATCTTGTGCCCCCCTATCCAGTGCTAGGGCTGTCTGCCAAGGCAGCCCTCAGGTGCCCCCAAACCCTCGTGCCCGTTTTCCCACCTGGAGGATAAAACAGCCCCTCCCCTCCCCATCCCCAAGCTCTCTCCTCCCCTTGTCCCTTTTGCAACCCCTTTCCCCCTCCCCTGGGCTGCTAGGCTTTTGCTGCTGGCTAGGAAAGGCCTTCCTCAGCCTTCAACAGCCATTAGAGCAACCCCCCCTCCAATCTGGACATGAAAATGGTGGCCCCCCACCATGATTAAGCTATAATATTAGTGAGCTGGGCCCATGATTTGAACCAGGCCCTACCTATATTGATGATCATTGCTTGTTGGGAGGATATCTTGGTGCTCACACAGAAAATACAACTGATCCTGTTGCTGATCTAAACCAAAATACCAACCTAGCTGTTACAGTCCTCAGTTGTTTTCTGTCTCTAAGCATCCCTCTCAGAGATTGAACCATCTGACTACAGACTGCAGATGTCCAGTAAGGGATACATGAGATTTTATTTTGACAGAACTGGTTTGTGTGCCAGAGGACATATACATTAACAATCTGTTACTAGGAAATCCCCTGACTGCTGCACACACACACGCATGCACGCACACACTACTCTTAGCAGCTGTAGCATATTAAAAGTTGAATTCCAGGGGGGAGCAATCAGCTCTGGTGTAAACCCACTGGAGTCAGTTGGAGCTACACCTGGGATGAATTTGGCCAAGGTATTTTTATTTGCTCAGGCCCTGGGAATCTGTCACAGTTATTCAAAGAAAAGCCAAATATTATGAAAAAGCCTCAAGCAAAAGCTTGCAGTGGGGGAGTCACTTACCAGCACAGTCTACTACCATTTGATCTTAAACTATTTTGGGGAATAAAGCCCAGCATTGCTCACTCACTGTGGATTGATGAAACAGGCTGATACTGGTACCTTTCTTGTTGGTTGTCAAAATACTCCTTAAAAATATTTGCTCTGATTAAACATAACAATCTGGTATATGTAATTAACCCCTCCAGTCTGCCCTGTCAAATTTCCCCCTCTGGCAGTAAATCCACTGTACAGGAAGAGATATAACTTGGAGAGAGAAAGCAGCATGGAGAGAGATATGCTGAGGCTCCCTGTTCAGCAGTAGATGGGACAGGATGAGGGAGAGTCAATGAATCTACCAGTGTTTGGATATTCTTCTCTTTCTTCGCCTGGGAAGGGATGTTGAAGGAGGTGCAGCCATTGGATGGAATTTGCCTGTTCATCGCACTTCCATGGGTGACGTACAGCATGCTGGGGAGGAATGTGGAGACAGATTTCCATCAGAGATGCTCAGTGTGGCAACTGCTATTCTGCCATTTTTGTTTCTTTGCATTAAAATAAATACTTATATACAAGTGTTTGCAGTAAAACCTAATGCCGAATTTTTCCTGTGGAAGTTCATGCTTCACTCTGATTGAGTTAAATGGTAAAGGCCCCAAATGGTAAGGTACTACAAATATAGGCCAGAATTTGTCTCAGTAGAATTACATTAATTTATAAGGGTTTGGCTGCAAAATAACATTCAGAAAAGTTAACCCAAAATTACTAAATGTGTGAACTGAAAAGTCAGTGGTGTTAGTCCCTTGATACAAAGATGGGGAGGCTCTGGAGTACTTAGAGCACTTTCTAGTTCTCAGCAGACACCTCTCTCAATGGGCTACCATCGATGAAGAAGTCCAGCACTGGGTCAACTGCGCCAGTGCCGCCTTCTTCAAGCTGCGACGTGTCTTTGAAAATAGAGAACTTCGGAAGTTGATGAAGGTCCTGGTTCATAAGGCTGTTGTGCTGACCACCCTTCCCTACTGCGGTGAAACCTGGACCATCTACCGATGCCACATTAAGACCCTTGAGAGCTTTCACCAGCGGTGCTTGCATTGAATCCTGGGGATCAAATGGGAGGACCGCCAGACCAGCATGAGCGTCCTCTATGGAGCTGCATCCACCAGCATCGAAACCTTGCTCTTGAGAAATCAGCTCTGGATGGGCCACTGCATCTGGATGTCCGAGAACCAACTCCCTCTCCAGATTCTCTTTTCCATGCTCTCTGTTGGCCAATGCTCACAGGGCGGCCAAAGGAAACAGTACAAAGA